TTCACTATGCAGAATATAGTATTAAAGGCATCAAGAAACTAACAAAAATTTATCTTTGTGGCCAATTTCTTGGTAACTCTTGGGACTAACATACTAAATTAGGAATCTAAAACCAAAAAGTCAGGTATGGACTAAAGTTTTAAAAAGAGCAAACACATATGTAATGCAACCTACATATTCTTTTGCAACAAGGGATTGAGTCTATTCTTCTAGAAATAGGTTATATCTAATTGTGCACCTATACATGTATAGACTTAATCATAGTTTCAACTGGGAAACTGTGAGCATCCTAGACTCAAAAGTCCAAAAACACTAGAGAATTCCTGGAAGTCTGGCATTCAGACAAACCAGCTACCAACAAGCACATAGAGATAAACAACATTTACATGCCATTCAAAACAATAAAAAAACAAACAAAAAGAAAACAAAAAGATGAAACAACCAGGCTCAGAGAGCACCAAGGACCCCACAACAGCCTAATCAAGGCACTTCCAAGAAGAAACAACTCTCCCACTAACACTGACAGGGCAAGCCACTGTATATAAACAAAGAACAAACCCCACTTCTTTGTAGCACAGAAGATGTTACCTAGTTGGGTAATGAAATGTCTGCAAGAAAACAGCCAAGCTCAGAGTGCACCAAGGACTCCACAGTACTATACAAGCACCAATTTGCTATTTGGGGTTTTCAATCTATCATAATATCAATGTTATCATTTTTTAAAAAAAATTCTATCAATGTACAATTAAATAAGATTAGAATTAAATTGCGCTGGGTGAAAACTAAGCAGCACTTTCCTAAAACCAAGTGATTAGGTGGGTTATTGTGCTCGCACTTCTCCTTAACATTTTTGAATTCAAGTAAAGTCTGCATATTACTAAGCATTTAAGAACAGAGTTAAAATTAATTGCATGTAAATATTATAAACATGCTTGGTGAACATGAAGGAGTGCCTTATACTTTTAAAGCAGTCTTTCCAAGGTACCCTTTTCCTGACCATGTGGTGCTATCAGCAATATCCACCGTGTGTTTGGTACTGGATTAGCTGTCTGAAAGGGAGGAAGACTGGGCAACAATAGCAGGATTCCATGCCACAGGCAATTGCAGATACCCATTAAGATTACTGGATATGGAGACAGAGTGGGAGGAAGGAAGATCCTACAGAAATAATTGGTTTGGCCACTTGCATACAAATATCCTGAGGTAGACTCAAGGACAAGGGTGTCAAGGCAGAAGGAAATCATAACACTGATTGCTATACTTTTCTAAGTATAGAAAAGTAGAAGTCCAGCAGGGGCCTCTGACAGACATTAGAGGACTCCTTTTCATACCCCCCCTCTGATTCTCAGTGCTGCTTCCAATGTTTCTCCATGGCAACAGAGCTTGTTTCCAAGGCCTCTGTCCTAGTGATGAGATGGGATGGATCTCTACCTCTTTTTGCTCCTGCCAAAGCTATATTACCCATCCCACCAGTGATTTAGTAGGTACTGATGCAGTCACTATCTTGACTTTTATTATTATATTCTGCAGCACCTCTGCTAGTTATTATAATGGACTGGTCTGATCTCGGCCCTTACTACTCACCTTGTTTGATTTAGTCGTTGCATCCTGCAACCAAATCATAACCTAATGCTGGGTACCAAGTGTTAACATTTATTTTGTAGGGCTAGATCAAATTCTTAAAAACCTTTGACAGTTTTGCCAAGGCTGCTTGGAACTCTCCCTTAGACTAGTTGGAGACAGAAGTGTAAAAAGCTAACTTAATTGGTAAAGTAGGCTATATCCCATCTGTCACAGACTATAGTAGAAGCAAGCATATATTGAGATAAAATTACATTAAAACCAAAGCTTATTTTGATTCTTGGCTTCTTACCTTTCTGTTTTAGATATTTAGATAGATCAACTTCCATGTGATCATAATCAAGGAAGAACCCCGAATATCCCTGATCCTTAATAAAGAACTATAAAAATGCAATTATAGTATAAAATTCACTGCATATTCAAAAGGATGTGCTGATGTGCACAAAAATTCAGTTCTTGTAAATGATTTTAGGAGCTGCCACTCTTAAGTAAACATTTACATGTTTTAATGGCTTGAGAAATAAGTTGAAATATGACCCCATTGATTTCAGAGGGCATAGATTTCTCCCTTTTCTCTCAGACATTTCTCATTGTTTATCTAACCCTAGTTTGTTCTTTTTTAAAATCAACCTTCTATAATTTCTGGCTATCCTCAAACTTCATCAGTTAGAACAATGTCCCCTTTTATAAGAAGAATCAAAAAGATATGAATCACCTTAAGAATGGTATTCTTTTGTGGTTCAGTTACCCACAGCACTCATTCCAATTTATCTTGGTCAAGAAGAAGCAAGAAGAAGCCTCCAACACAGTTAAGTAGAAAAATATGGCTAGCTAAGTGAGTTATTTTCATGGTGTAAGCTAAAACTCAGTGGTAGAGACTTCCGGTTTGTGTCGTGGCGGAACGGAACATAGGAAGGCGGGGCTCTGCCTTCCGCGCTCGATTTTGCCCTGCTGGGGGCCCTGAAAAGGGCCTAAAATTGCCCCAAAGGGGTGATGAAGAGGAGAGGTGACTTGTCGATCATAGAGACAGCGGTCTTTCATTCGATCCAAGATAAGTCCTCCAAACCTGCAATGGAAAGACCAGCTACATTCTTGTGGCTGGTCATTAGCTGCTGACAACCAAAGGAGGGGGGGAAAAAGCACTACTTAAGACATTGTAAACAGCATGTTTGGAACTGGGTGAGAATATTGATCCTTTACTATTTTAGAACTGAATTTCTTGGGAAAGGCTCCCAAGAAGCTAAAAACCTCCAAATGTAAATGGAAGTGGCATTTTAATTTTATGGGGGACAGAAACACACAATATTGAAGTGAAAGTAATATAAAGCTACAGTTTTGATAAATTTGAAAACTGAGATAACTGTTAAGATTTTCTCTTTGGAAAAAAAACATTGAGGTGAAATATAAGAAATCAATCATTTGTTTCAAGAGTGGAAAATGGACTTTGAATGACATCTAGTGGTGGATTTGTGTATAGCACCATAATTTGCTTTGCTTGGTGATTTCTACCTTGGGAGAACAGCTGGCAATAAAGGAAAATATTTTGGCATACTTATCATACCTACTGAGCTTGGATTTTTAACTGCAAGGGCTAGTGGAAGAGAAAGAAAAGTCATTCTGACTTGGAAACTGCATTTGGAATCATGGCATGCAAAACTACACATTATTCAAAACGTATTTAGTCAAAAAGAAACCTGAAGCATAAATCTGGAAATTAGAGTTATTTTCTATATGCACATAGAAGCTATGATCAGATCATCTCCCAATACCATATCTCACCTCAATTGTACAACAGTATATCCAGCTTTCATATTTTAGAAAATTGATTAAACATAAAAGCTTTAAGGCAAAAATTATTCCAAAACACTTCCAAACAATGGAGGTAAAAAGGACCAAAATGTATAACTGATGGTGCCATTAGAAGGCTACTCCCTTCACTGTTTTTAAATAATTATGGAGTGGCCATGATTTAGCTGAAATTAGGAAAAATCAATCCACAAATTTCATTAAGGTCTCATCTACCTTCTTCATCCCCCAAAGTAGATCATAAGCGTAGTTCACAGTTTTACTTAGTGATTACTTTGCTTAACAACCAAGTTGTCAATCCAATTGTAATTACTTGGCTAATAAAGAACTATTCTGTTCTGTACTGTACTGTTCTGTACTGTACTATACTAGGGCTATCTATATTTAACAATAGGGATTTGTTTTGTCCCCACAAGGGACAAAAGCCTCTTATGATATTTCCTTAATTAAGCCCGGGTGCCCTTTGGTCATATCTCACAGCAAAATAACTGATTGTGTTATATCCAGAGAAGTATCCTCACTTCAAAGCTGTGCCAAAATTATTATGGGGAAGAAAAGAGCCATATTCTGCTTCAGATAACCTGAACCTCCTGAACTTACAGAGGGTCAAGAGAAGCATGCATGGTGCCAATATCTCCATATTGCCAAAATCAGGTTGAACAAATTCAGAAGTACTCTGCAATTCATCATGAATGGATAGAGTTCTAGACTTTAATCTGTTTGTGGCTGAGATAGAATTTAACCTTGCTTAACATAATTCCTGGTCAACATACCTTACAACCTGATCAACATATCTTCTGAAGAACTGCTCACATGCTACTATGTGGAATTCCACTCATGTAAGCAACCCAGCATGGAGTGTTGAATACCTGAAGCAGGCTGTTGCCCAGCATTTAATATGGTACACACCATGACCCCTTGGGCCATTTATTCTTCTGTATATAATACAGGTAGGATATATATTATAATATATAATGTAGTATTCCACTCCACTCATGCCCCTCAGCAGAGCTTCGGTGAAGCCTCCCTTTTCCCCTCCTCCCCAACCCCGCTTGTCTCCAAGGGCCTCCTCCCTCCAGGGAGGGAAGGGTGTCAGCTGCTGGCACCTCCCAGACACCCATCTCTCCAGCAGGCCCCTGAGTTACTCCCTTGCCCTTCCCTTGCTACCCATTGCCATCAAGACATTTCAGTTTTTGGCCTTGGTTCTAAAACAGCCAATTGCTGATAGCTCATTGAAACTTGCCACCAGCCAATTATGAGTAGGGGCTAAAGAGAGGCAGGAAAGAGGGTAGGGATATTTCTCTCCCATCTTCCCTTGCACCTCACAACCTTTGGGTTTCTATTTGGTAATCATGATCACATGACTGCAGCGGCCACAACTTTGTAAATAAACTGTATGAATGTTCTAGAAGATTCCACAGAAATCATAGGTCCTGGATTTTGGATGCATTCTTTAATTTAGCCCATTTGAGGTACCTTCATTCAAAAACTGTTGCCCTATAATGCAGCATTTTGCAAACAGAAAAACAGACAGGAGAATTTCAATAGTATATACATTTCCTGTTGCTATAATCAATGAAGGAAGAGAAACAAACAAGGCTAATGTTACTTACCTCAATAATATAAAGAACCACATTCTTATAAAAACAATACAGTATGCATTTTGTCACTCGATTGTAACTCCAGGCTCCATGGACAAGTAACAGCTTCTCCAAGTAGGAAAACTAGGGGGAAAAAAAATCAATTGTGTGCCATCAAATTATAGTCAACTCTTAAATTACCGTATGTTTAAATTCTAGACCATTCATTGCTTGGTGACCTTAACTTAGTATAAATTACTCTAAAGTTTTATATCTACCATAGTGGACATGCCTGAAACATTCAACACGGGGCATGCTATTGGTTTTCAGTAATTATCCATTCTGAGTGCAGCACATGTCCCAATTTAAGTAGCTACTGTAAGTAACATGATGCTATTGAATTCCTGCTTGTGGGTTTCCCATAAAGAGATGATTAGCTAATGTGGGATACTAAACTAGATGCATCTTTGTTGTGGTTCAATATAACTTTTCTTAGGCATTTGGATATTCAGAACGTTATATCATGATCTTGTGACAAGATTTAATTCCATACCATATGTAATTGGAAAAAATACATTGCAGCAGGAGATACATAATGCAAACCTGCCCTCATAAAAATTCATAAAATTAGTTTTTATCTTCTTATGCTTCTAGTTCCTCATAATGCCTCTTCTTTGTGTATACTGGCTTAAAGCTACCTTAAATTTGTGAGCTTTCTGGGAAGAGAGTCAGTCTGGTGTAGTGGTGAAAGTGCTGGCCTAGAAACCAGGAGATGGTGAGTTCTAGATCTTCCTTAGGCGGGAAAACCAGTTTGGTGACTTTGGGTCACTCACTCTGTCTCAGCCACTTCACAAGATTGATTTTGAGGGGAAAATAGGAGGCAGGTGCATTAGGTGTGCTTGAGATAGATAGATAGATAGATAGATAGATAGATAGATAGATAGATAGATAGATAGATAGATAGATAGATAGATAGATAGACAGACAGACAGACAGACAGACAGACAGACAGACAGACAGACAGACAGATAGATAGATAGATAGATAGATAGATATTTAAAAATTGATAGTCAGAGCAGTGGCATATGGCAGTGATTAAAGATATTTAAAAGACACAGCTCTAGAGGGTTTTATGTGCTGACATGATTATCCAACAATCAATGTGTAATGGAAAGGAACTGGATAGCATCCCTTTCAATTGAAAACAGTAGTCAGATATTAAATGCATATGTGTCATGTGGGATTTATTCCCAAGTAAACATTGACAAATTCACATGCAAATGTGTAGAATTCTGAATATTGGTTAGACTGCTTTTACGATATAATTTTTATATTGATCTAGTAAATCACTATATTACTATTCTATGTGTTTTAATTGGTATTGTAGTAGCCTCACAAGGTGGCATTTACTCCTCAGCCCTACTTGTATCTAGAAGCATGTTAAACAGTCTTTTGCTCAAACTGATTGTGGGGTCTATCACAGGAAACTGACTGCTTTAGTTTTAATTGGTTATGTTGAGCTTATTCTTTTTTCTACTGTTCACAGCCCGGAGTCTGACAGGGCTTGGGCGGGCTACCAATTTGGGTTGATTGATAGACAGAGGCAGATAACCAACCCTACTATGGATGTTTTAATTATCATCTTGGGACTGTAAACTTTCAGGAATTCCTGGCAGATTCAGCAATAACAAACACACTTACTTAGGTAATATTGAAATAACAGAATTATCTGGTCTCTGTATAAATTGAAGAACAACAATTCCCACCAATTTCAGCTTAAATAGGTGATGATGATTTATGTTCTGTAAGCTGCCCAAAGTCACTGGAGATGGAGGAATGTGGAGATTTGAAGTACAGCAGCAGCAGAAGAATTTGGCCAGATACAAGTTCACAATCTTTCTCCTATTCTAGTCATAGGTTCAAATATAAGAGATAGAAGCAAAGAGCCAAAGCTCAAATTGGCATTGAAAAATGTACAGAACTATAATGAAATAATAATGGACTTCTTGAGACAATCTCTAACTATCGGGATGGTCAACTTTCCTTGAGCCAGGAGGAGAAATTTGCTCTCTCAGACCACTGGTAATATCACTGAAAGAGTGATAATGTCCCTGATCATTCAGTCCACTTTTGTTTTGTGTAGGCATTTAAGGAGAATAACAGAAGTTCTCTGACAGTCCAACTACACCTTTTCCTATTAGAACATTCCAATGACCCCTCATCCAATAAATTGCTTAAAGCTATGTTAAAGGTTTAGGTGACAAAATGATGAGAGCCAGTTTGGTCTAGTGGTTAAGGCACCAACTAGAAAGCAGGAGATTGTGAGTTCAAGTCCCACCTTAGCAATGAAAACCTGCTGGCTGATTTTGGGCCACCTACTCTGTCTCAGCCTAACTCACCTCACAGGGTTGCTGTTGTGGGGAAAATAGGAGGAGGAAGGTGTGTTCACTTCCTTGAGTTATTTGTTAAAATAATAAATGCAGAAACAAACAAACAAATTTACAAATAAACAAATATAGTCCAGTTGGACATGGTTGTTGTGTTTGAACTGTGAAATGGCATTTGTTGATCCTGTACCTGTGGGAAAATGCTAGGTAAATAAAGAAAATTTGATTATTTCAAAAACCAGAAAATATTCCTCCTGTTAAGAGCTGTGGTGGCACAGTGGCTAGAATGCAGTATTGTAGGCTGACTCTGCTCATAGTCTGGAGTTCGATCCTGACCGGCACAAGGTTGACTTAGCCTTCCATCCTTCCGAGGTTGGTAAAATGAGAACCCAGATTGTTGGGGACAATATGCTGACATTGTAAATCATCCAGAGAGTGCTATAAAGCACTGTGGGGCAGTATAGTCTAAGTGCTAAGTGTTTAGAACATTTGGAGGGGTGGAAATCAGAGAATTATTTATTCATTTATTTATTAGATTTAAATACGTCCCATTTCATTTAAAGGAGACTTTAGAATTACAGAATTGAAAGGAGTGACTAAATTCATCTTCTGCTTTGTATTTATAACAAATGGCTAGCTAGCTTCTTCCATCATTTTCAGGCAATTGGTTCAAACTGCTGTTTATCTTTAGAAGTTGTTTTTCCCCCCCACTAACATTCCTAACAATCAGTAACAATCTGCCAAAAGAGAGGAGTTTACTTCCAGAGACCCAGAGATTTCCCACTCTCCTGTCTGTTTTAGAAGAAAAATAAAATAAGAAAAGTCCTGCCCCCAATTATTCAATCTGCTGCTGAATTTCTGCAGCACAGTCCCAGGGTGCTAGTGATTGGCACAAATTGGGTCCAGAGGTTGGGGTGATGTTATATACCCCCTATGGGATTCTATTTATTCACTCCTGCCTTATTGGCAATAACTCAGCAAAAATAATTTTAAAAGTTTCTATCAGATTACATAAAAATGACCATTCATTTAATATTTCCTACATTTTTAATACCATTCAGAGGCTTACTTTACTTCCAAGGAATCCTGGTTCATATAGAAGTGTTTTATCTCCCACCTTTTCACCTTCACAATATTCCTGCACTGAGGATTAGATTTAGTGACAATGATTTTGCTAAGACAATTTAGCAGACGCTGGAAGTTTTTAAGACGAGGCTGGACAGCCATTTGTCTGAAATGGTACAGGGCTTCCTGCCTGAGCAGGGGGTTGGACTAGATGACCTCCAAGGTCCCTTCCAACTCTATTATTATTATTATTATTATTATTATTATTATTATTATTATTATTATTATTATTATTATTATTATTGTTGTTGTTGTTGTTGTTGTTGTTGTTGTTGTTATTATTATTATTATTATTATTATTATTATACTGGGCAGGAATATGAATACAGATTCCCCAATACTAATCTAGCTTTTAATTTCCTATATCTCAAGGCACTGTGCCTCATTCAGAAGGAAACTTTGGAACGAAAAACACTCCAAAAAATTTCCAAGGATTATAACAACTAATTTAACATCAACCAAGAGACCATGAGATTCTAGTCCCACCACTGGCATGAAGATCCAGCTGGCTTTTTCACTCTCTCTCTCAGCCTCACCCACCTCAAGAGTTATTGTTGTGAAGAAAGTAGCAGGAGAAAGGAGTGTTAGGTACGTTCGCCACCTAGAGTTATTTATAAATAATAATAATAAAGGCAGGATAAAAAATAAATATTGGCAGAGCTTAAGAGAAAGATCCAAAAAGAAGAATATACTCTAAAAAAATTCCTGCATGCATTTTCTGAGAGGAAGACAAATGATCCCATTAAAACAGCGTTCCATTTTTATATACTATGTAAATAGGTATACATCCCACATATTTCCATACAGAAATGCAGATTTTTGTGGTTCTGTGTTTAGAAAGGGACCAGTGAGATTCATGCTGAATCAGAAACAATGGTGCTTGTCACCTTGCAGGATCATTCAACATCTGGTCAGACCGCAAAGTGGCGGTCAGCCAGGATTTGCCTCAGGCATCCCAAAGACTGCCAACACTTATTACATCAGTGAAATGCAGGATGTGAGAAGCAGGAGAAAGCAAAGTTTTCTTCAGAAAACTAGATTGATATTCACTCATTTAGAATTTCTGTCAGCAGTTCAATAATAAAGGTGATCTTTGAACATAATTAATTCCTTCTTTTGAAAACAATAAAAATCTACATTCAATATCTGAACTGCCTCAAAAATGTCTCTATTTGGTTTTGGGAGTCTGAAAAAAAAAAGTCATTGGATTGCATTATAATGAAGATGAGAGATATGTTCAGAAGGGGGTTGTCTCTGCATCATATATTTTAAACTTTCTTAAAAATAATAATAACTTTTAAATATTTCATATCATAACAATAGCTCTGTATATGAGATATCATTTGTTTAAAAGAAATAAATATTCCTAAATACATTAGTATTCAGAGTTGGAATCTGTAGTCGTCTTATTACTCATCAAAATCAGATGAGAATCCTGCTATCTCCTCAAAGAACAGGAGAATGGAACAGGAGAATGATAACATTGGCAGTAACTTTGAAGAGCCTTTGCATCCATTGGAACAGACCAGACAATAGGACAATAGAAAAAGAGATTCAAGATGTTGTCAAAAATGTCTGATTAGACATGTATCTGTTCTGGAGGAGAAGGAAAGAGGAGAAAGTTAATCCTGATGTCTAAATTCAAACAATACTGAAGAATTTCAGCTTCTTGAGAACTCCAAGCTTCAGACCTAGCTTTTCTTGAGACAGAAGGCTAACTCCGGCACTAAAACAAGCATCGTCTTCCACAATGAATACATTTGCTTCACACTACTGGATATGTCTTCAAGAAAGAAATAATGTGCTCCTTTGAAAGTTATCTTGGAAATGTTTCAGTATCCCTCTAATTCAACTTTCTCCAGCTTGGTGCCCTTAAAACAGTTAGGACTACAGTTCCCAAAGTTCACAGCCGGACTCTGGCTGAAATCCTGGGAAGGCTGCTCTAATTAATATTGAGGCATCTTGTTTCTTGTTTTAAAACCAAATTCCCTTCATGATGATGCATCAATCAGGAAAAAGGACAGACCAAAAAGGGATTCCTATTTACCTCACTGTTGTTGGGTTTGGACACTGGCTGGAAAGTTGTTTGTTTTGCCTTTAAAAAAAAAAAAAATGCATTCCATCAATTTTAGCCGGCCCTGCTAACAGAAAGAAATTATGGGGGTGGGAGTTCCTATGAGACCACACACTACAGCAGTATAAACTGATCTTGATTGACTTCTAATATCCATTCCTTCAATCCCAGAGATTAACAAAAAGGTGATGGTGAGGTTCTTCACGGATAACCTCTGGATAAATGCCAAGGGATTGATAAGGATCCCATATAACTATATTTCCCTTATCACATTGTGCTTGTTGGAACCCTAAAATCCAGAACTATAGCAAGTATTAATAGAGACTGAATTAGGGCTTGGATAATACCTACCACTGCTACTTAACTGTTCAAAATAGAAGGCTATATGTTTTGCTTCAGAAGGCAAGGATGGCACTGCGAGGGCTGATGTAATTAATTAATATTAAATAATAAACATTACAGTGAATAATGAATGTTAAACACTACAGCTCATGGATGATGGATATGATGGTTATGTTTGAACGTATAGTTATTATAGTTATGAGGATTAAGGTATTTCTATATCATAAGTTAAAAGTGCCGCTGCATCAGAAAATCTTATACACCATCAAAGAATTTCAAAATCAGGACAACTGAAAAAAGTCAGTGATTCTTGCTCACCTCTGAAAGCTATCACTGATCACTCCTGATCAGAAGTAGGAAGCTAAAGAATATTAAACTTCTTTCATAGCATTTCCTTAGATCGTTGAAATAAAATGGAGTGGCAGTCTCTACTGTAGAACAGGAACAGGTTATCAACAAGTGTCTATTGCAAGAATAAAAGTAAGAGGGGGGAGGAGGAGGAAGAGGAGGAGGAGCAGGAGGAGGAGGAAGAGGAGGAGGAGGAGGAGGGGGAGGAGGAACTATGATTTTGACAGCTGCAATGTCTGAGTAATCTTCCAGACTACTGGAAATATGATGGAAACACACTGATGAATAAAAAGAAACCGCAGCATTTAGGATGAAATGGCTCCTGGCCCAGTACAATGGAAGGTATTGCACATATTTACAAGTTCTCTTCATTAAGTCAGCATCCTCAAAGGAAAGCGGGGGGGGGGGGAGGACATTTGCTTGGCTTCTAGATCAGCAGTGAAGTATTTATGCTGTCTATGCAGTCAACACCCTTTCAACAGGATATGGCAGCTGTTTCTTTGTAGGCATCTAACCTGTGCTATTGCATAATCAGAAGAGTTGGTTGCCTGCATGCCTTCATTGCCACTGATCCCCACTCCAACATGAGCCGTCTGGATCATTCCAACATCGTTGGCACCATCCCCAATGGCCAGAGTGATGGCATTCACATGTTTCTTTACCATGTCTACTATTTCTGACTTCTGCAGAGGAGACACCCTAGGAAGAAGAAAAAAAAGGCTGTCAGTTTCCACACATGCCAAACTATGTGTGACTTTTAAAGGGAGAGCTACAGATGCAAAAGAAAGAAAGAAAGAAAGAAAGAAAGAAAGAAAGAAAGAAAGAAAGAAAGAAAGAAAGAAAGAAAGAAAGAAAGAAAGGCAGGCAGTCACTGGAAAATTTCCTGCTCCAATACTTCAGATTTTATAGAGCATATGCCAAATTCTTTCAAACCTACTAAGGATGTAAGATTCATCAAGAATAGTAGGCTAAAAACGTTTTGATTACTAAAAAACATTTTTCCAATTCTTATACCATATGATAGCCTTCTCCAGATGTGTTGGGCTTTCAACTTTCATAATTCCATCTTTTGCTACCTGGCAGATTACAGGAATTGAAGGCCAACCCAATTAGAGGCCATTAGATTGGGGAAAGATATAAGACTGTTATTGAAACTGTTGCTATATTGAAATAATTTTGTCATTCATAAGCATAGTTCATAAACATTCCCCTCCGCAAAGCTTCTGGAATTACTGCCAACTATCATGTTGTCTGGAGGGGATGGTGCACAGATCTGTCTGAAGAAATTAGGTTTCCTGCTTTAAACTTCTTATCTTTGTGTTTTCTGTACAATGCAACTGGACTCAAGAAGTCAGAATATAGGAAACTGTTTTAGACATTTTCAATTGCTTAGTTCAATATTGTCTACTGTATCAGTGTCTCCCCAGAGACTCTGTCAAAAGTATTTGCCATCATTTGCTATGACAGCCTCCCCAAAACAAAACAGAAGCCAGAAATACCAGACTGAGGAATCTAGAAAAAAACTATACAATTGGTTTCAAAAGAAAAGGAGATACTCTTTTACCTAGTCCATAACTATTTGTTTAACCAATACCCACAAGATTCAGTGATGTCTACTAAGTTGAATAGCTTTTAAAAGGGAGAGTTTAAACAGTAATATCAGTTTTGACCAACTTTAACGGGATGGTATTGCGCATTTGTGTCCTGCATGTGAGTTTCTCTTGGCAATTCACTGACCACTATGAGACTAGAACATTGACTAGAAGGACTTCAGTCAGATCCAGAATAAGAAGAAAAGATCTTATTTTTTTCAAACGACTTTCAACGTATGAAATATAGGTGCTCCCACTAAGCAACAAAGTATATGTGTCAACTCAGCAGGATAGACCAGATCAGAACTACTTTTATTGTAACAACCATAGTAACAGAATAGTGCAAATCTGAATGTGCTTCCCTCTCCCTCCCTTTATCTTCCTGTGAACTAGAGAGAAACTTATCTGAGATGTTTTCTCAAGTTATTTTCTTGGCCCAGGCTCAGTCCCACTTACAGTATTTGACCATCACTGTGGCAGCAGTTCATCCTCCTGTCTCCCAAGGCCATTCCTTATTCCTTTAATAATAGGTTCTACTAATAAGCTACATTGACCAAGCATGTGATACCTGATAATCAGAGGACAGACTGCTGAAAGGAGTAGTTGAATCCTTTCTATCAACCAATACACTGGCACGAAAAAAGATTGGAGACTATAATTTTATGATTTGGATTAATAATGCAATTTAGGCCTACTTGTAATCTGCAAACTTTTCAAAGCTGCTAATATTAGTCTGTAGTGGTAGTTGCTTTATTTTTACTCCTCATAGCTGCAAATATATAATTATATAAAGATAAAGAAATCAATTTATATTGCCCTGAGCTGTACAAGATAAAGGCAAAATATGAATCAAATAAATAAATGTAGACATAATAAATCTAGTTATAGATATGTTGTTGTTAGTTGTGAAGTCATGTCTGACCCATTGCGACCCCATGGACAACATTCCTCCAGGCCTTCCTGTCCTCTACCATCTTCTGGAGTCCATTTAAGTTCACGCCTACTGCTTCAGTGACTCCATCCAGCCACCTCATTCTCTATCGTCCCATTCTTCTATTGCCCTCAATCTTTCCCAGCATTAGGCTCTTCTCCAGTGAGTCCTTCCTTCTCATTAGTTGAGTTTCAGCTTCAGGATCTGGCCTTCTAAAGAGCAGTCAGGGTTGATCTCCTCTAGGACTGACTGGTTTAATCACCTTGCAGTCCAGGGGACTCGCAGGAGTCTTCTCCCACACCATAGTTCAAAGGCCTCAATTCTTTTGCGCTCAACCTTTCTTATGGTCCAACTTTCACAGCCATACATTGCAACTGGGAAAACCATGGCCTTGACTATACGCACTTTTGTTGGCAGGGTGATTCTCTGCTTTTTAGTATGCTGTCTAGATTTGCCATAGCTTTCCTCCCCAGGAGCAAGCGTCTTTTCATTTCTTGGCTATAGTCCCCATCTGTGGAGCCCAGGAAGATAAAATCTGTCACTACCTCCATTTCTTCCCCATCTATTTGCCAGGCATTGAGAGGGCTGGATGCCATGATCTTGGTTTTCTTAATGTTGAGTTTCAAGCCAATTTTTGCACTCTCCTTCTTCACCCGCATCAAGAGGCTCTTTAGTTCCTCTTCACTTTCTGCCATTAGAGTGGTATCATCTGCATATCTTAGGTTGTTGATATTTCTCCCGGCAATCTTAATTCCAACTTTTGATTCATCTAGCCCTGTCTTTCTCATGATGTGCTCTGCATATAAGTTAAATAGGCAGGGCGACAGAATACAGCCTTGCCAGACTCCTTTCCCAATTTTGAACCAATCAATGGTTCCGTGGCCAGTTCTCACTGTTGCTTCTTGACCCGCATATAGGTTTCTCAAGAGACAAATAAGATGGTCTGGTACTCCCATCTCTTTAAGAACTTGCCACAATTTGTTGTGATCCACACAATCAAAGACTTTAGCATAGTCAACGAAGCAACAGTAGATGTTTTTCTGGAACTCCCTAGCTTTCTCCATGATCCAGTGTATGTTGGCAATTTGATCTCTAGTTCCTCTGCCTCTTCGAAATCCTGCCTGTACTTCTGGAAGTTCTCGATCCACATACTGCTGGAGTCTAGCTTGTAGGATTTTAAGCATAACTTTACTTGCATGTGAAATAAGTGCACTGACCAACCTCTTTACAAATTAGAAGAGTTTCCTCTTATCTGGGGCACATTGCTGAATTACTCCAGAGTTTTAAATCCCCATTTGGCTGAGACCGTGTCTAAACTTTTTATTTTATGAGTTGCAATCAGAAATGAAAACAGACTATAATTTTGGCAGTATTTTACATTATCAGAAGAACATCAGTCTTAGAATTTAGCATAGATGAAACTCAACATCACCTATGTTTCAATGAGATTATTCACAGGTAAACAATTTATTTTAGTACTGTAGTAAAGTAAATCAATGTTGTAATCTTTCAAGTAAAAAGATTTAACAATCTACTCTATGAGAATCTTTTGTCCAAAGATACTTAGACTAAATTAGTTAATTTTATAGTTTAGTCAAACTTTCCTAATGCTTAGTCTTTTGAATAAAAGCTTTCCCAAAGATAAAAGTTAGCACATGAAGACTAATGATAGAACTTCTCAAGTAATTAAATCTACAAACAAAGCACTGTGGGAAACTATTCTTTGATAACATGAAAATTAAACAGGTTTACAAGTTTAAGCCAACTTTCCCCAGTGTGATGATCACAATAATTGAGAAAACACGGCCTTTCCTTATCTGGTTCTCTCCAGGGACTGGACAACTGCCATTAAGTGCTATGGAGTTTAAAAAGAACTCTGCCATTGACTTGTTCAGAAAGAAATTGAGAATTTCAAAGGAAGAAGGTCATGTATTGTAATGTCATCTTCCTTGGGGATAAGAATGATAATTAAAGAACTAAAATGAAGAATTAGAATATATGGATAGTTTTTATAACGAAGGCATGAAAATAGGGTTTTCCAACTAATATTCTTGGCCCTCACATTTTTAATGTGTTGATAAAATACAGTGTCTAGAGTTCAGTGTCAGAAGGATTTATGATTTCACCAAATACCTTAGCAAGATTAAAAGGAATAAGGTTAATCAAGGAGATTCCAAAGAATTTCCCCTTATGAGAAGAATGAGTAATTAAATATAATCAAATAGGGAATGGTGCACCTCAGAACCAAAAGTGGTATAGGCTGCAGATGACTGATTAGGAAAAGAAACTTAGGTTATAATGTTTAGACAGGCTTAGCATGCTATGGACAAGGAGCAGAGCAGGGGACACAAATTCCATGTCTAGAAGAATTTGGAAGAAATTAAAACATAATTCTCTATCTCATCACTTTAAGATTTTATACATATAGACACTTCTAGAAAGCTTACAGGTAACTTCCTAAAAGGAAAAAAAAACCCAAGGGGGTTAAAACTGGCTGTTTTAAGTTGCAGCTGGAAGCCTCAGAAATAAAGGTGGGCTTCTTAGAAATAAGGCAGAGTGCATCTATTTTGTGCGCGATATCTTAATGGAGACCAAGTGGTTAATTATTCAGGTCTTTTTTATTTGAAATTCAGCAAGGACATGGTTGTTTTGCCTGTTAGCTTGCTTTTGGTAGAAAGGAGGTAGATGACATAAAAGTTAGAATTTTTATTCTATAACCTACTTGTTCATGTTGTGAGTTTTACCTTTTAGCTAATGGAAGAATTGAGCTGTTTAAGAACATGTTTATTTCTGCATTTGTTCTGGTTCTTTATATTACTGGAAAGTAAGAGGAAGGTTTATAGTGATTACTGTGCTTGGGGAAGTGATAGATAAAAGAATACCCAGCATCCATCCTTTTGCTTGCTTGCTTTTAAGATAACATATGTGCCTCTATCTCCAAAAGGACAAGTTAGGGTAAACACATTATTACATCTGGACTATGTACAAGGAGATGGGAGAGGAGCATCTTCCAGGGGAGAATAAGAGAAAAGAGGCTTGATTTCTCCTCTAACTGAAAAGGATAAATGTTGTATTTCCAAGAACAGAAGGATACTTATCAATAAAGGAGAATATTTGTAGCTCAGGGTTGAAATGAGGGTTCCTTAGTGCTTTCTGAGCTTGGTTGTTTTCTTGCA